ACTACAAAAAATCAGCTGGGCATGGTGGTGCGTGCCTGTAATCCCAGCTACTCAGGAGGTTGAGGCAGGAGAATTGCCTGAACCCAGGAGGCGGAGGTTGCGGTGAGCCGAGATTGCGCCATTGCACTCCAGCCTGGGTAACAAGAGTGAAACTCTGTCTCAAACAAACAAACAAACAAAAAGCCTCCTGGGCAACTTTTGGCAGGAAAGAGACATCTGGAAGGGCGTGGGGGTCTGGGGCCATATCACCCAGGGTGCCCTGAGGGGTGGGGAACTGGGAGAACTTGCTAGGGATTCCTTTCCTTGGGAAACTGATGTCTGAGAAGGTGGATTCGGGTAGGACAAAGGCCCAGGAGACTCTCTTGCTAGGGAGTCTCTGGCCTCAGCAACCAGGGGAAGGAGACACAGACCCATCACTGAGCCCCATTGTTGGGGAGGGTCCCCCCGGCAACAAGGAGACTGGGAGGAGGTGAGCCAATGGAGGCCGGAGCCTGAGTCAGAGTCTCCTGGTCCAGGGGTCCTGAGAGGTTTTTCATCTCAGGCACGCCAGGCCTGCTGTTTAGGGAACGTTTCTCAGGAAAGGGGATAGGCCGGGCACAGTGGCTCACACCTGTAATCACAGCACTTTGGGAGGCCGAGGCAGGCGGATCACCTGAGGTCAGGAGTTCAAGACCACCCTGGCCAACACGGTGAAACCCCCGTCTCTACTAAAACTACAAAATTTAGCCTGGTATGGTGGTTACTTGCCTGTAATCCCAGCTACTCGGGAGGCCAAGGCAGGAGAATCGCTTGAACTCAGGAGGCAGAGGTTGCAGAGAGCTGAGATCACGCCACTGCACTCCAGCCTGGGTGAAGAAGAGAGACTGTGTCCAAAAAAGGAAAAAAAAAACAGGGAAGGGGACAGGCCACATGGGCCCCTGCTGAGATTTGAGGGCCTGGTGGGCTGGAGCTGCTCGGAGGCTGTGACAGTGGCCCCTGGGCAGGGAGCCCCCATTTCCCTCCTGGATCTCAGTTTCCCTCCTGTGAACAGAGGTTAGAGGGTGGAGGCAGGGAGTCCACCAAGTGGAGATCCTGAAACTTCCCCATGATTTCCCCCAAGGTGACTGGGAGGTGACTGGGAGGACACTTGGCTTCCAAGAAGAGGAAGCGGGACTTGGGGGCCGGGTTGGGACCGTAATCCCTAGTGCACCCCAACTGATCCACTCAGCTTCACAGCACAGTGACCAGGGAGTCTCCGCTCCCCTGGGACTGTCTCTGAGCTAGAACTCCTGGGACTGAGGGAAAAGGGGGTTGGAAACCCAGACACCTGCACTAGAGGTAGAAGGGGCTGGGACTGGACTCCTGGGTCTGAGGGAGGAGGGGCTGGGGGTCTGGACTGCTGGGTCTGAGGAAGGAGGGCCTGGGGGTCTGGACTCCTGGGTCTGAGGGGGAAGGAGCTGGGGGCCTGACTCCTTGGTCTGAGGGAGGAATGCTATGGGGGATCCCAGACTTCTGGGTCTGAAGGATGAAGGGCTGGGGCTGGATCCTGGGTCTAAGGGAGGAGGAGCTGGGGGCCTGGACTCCTGGGTCTAAGGAAGGAGGGGCTGGGGGCCTGGACTCCTGGGTCTGAGCGGGGAGGGGCTGGGGGCCTGAATGTGATGGTCCAGGAGCCAGACCCCATTTCTCAGGAAGCTCCGTGGGGTGACTCCCTGTCTTACCCATCTCTCCTGTAAACATCCTGGTGGGTGCTGAGTGGGCCCAGGCTGCCTCCGTCAGAGATGACACAGGTTAGAGGGGGCCCTGCAGGGGGCCGGGGGTGGGGGTCAGAGGGGTTGTGGAGCTGAGGTTGGGCCGCTGCTGACCGTTTCCTGTGTCAACATAATCTGGACCCACTTCCCAATTCCCGGGATTCCTCAGGGATCAAAGAGGGGGTGGGGGGGCGGGGCCGCCTGGCCCTGGACTGCGGCTTGGGACTGGGGGGGCCCCCGCCGTCACGGCCCTCACCGCTAATGACAGGTTTGGGCTGCCTCTGTGGCCAGCCTGCCCCGTCACCCCCCAGAGGCCAGACAGGACCCCCCAGGGACTGACAGACGGACACACACACAGCCTGGGACCTGCTGACCTCACACCCAGCCGGCTCCGCTTCCCCCCGGGGCTCTCACGGGAGCCAGGAATCACTGGCCATCCCCCACGTCCCTTCGGCTTCTCCCCAGTGTCTGTGGTCACCCCGGGTCTGGGTCCTGGCTGCCCAGTCCGTTTCCGCGCCTCTAAGCTGGTCTCTAGCTCGCGCGGGGTTCCACTGCCCCAGCTGCCTCCCGGGGCCTTTGTTGTCCCGCTGTTTGTCTCTGTCATCTATCATTTTCTTTTGGGATTCCCCAGTCCTGCCTCTGGGTCCCTTCTGATCTTCATCTCTCGCTCTGTCTCTTTCTCTCTCTCCTTCTCTGTTTTCCACAGAGTAACCCAACATGTCCCACCCTAGCCTGGGCAGACCCAGGGATTGCCAATAACTCCTAGCCCCGCTGCTCTGCACCGGCCCCATCTATCTCCACTGCCACACTGGGGGGATGAAGTCTGAGCCCACAACCCCGGGCTGCAGACCAAGGCGAGTCAGAAAACTGGCAGCAGCCGGGACCCCAGACTTGTCCCAGACCCATGACCTTCCCCACACATGCTCCTCAAAGTGTAGAGGGCCACAAGATTCTCCACTGCCTTTCTTCAACTAGAATTGGGGCCTGGACTCCTGGGTCTGAGGGAGGAGGGGCTGGGGTCTGGACTCCTGGGTCTGAGGGAGGAGGGGCTGGGGTCTGGACTCCGGGGTCTGAGGGAGGAGGGGCTGGGGTCTGGACTCCCGGGTCTGAGGGAGGAGGGGCTGGGGTCTGGACTCCTGGGTCTGAGAGAGGAGGGGCAGGGGTCTGGGCTCTGGTCCCTGTGGGGACAGGGCTGGCATTACTGGAACCCTGCTCTTGCTCCCCAGCTGGCCTCGGGCCAGTCCCCTATCCCCTCGGGCTAGTCCATCCCCCAAGCTGGTGGCCTGAGTCACCTTGGCTGGCCCCGCCGGTCTGGGGGGGGCTACGTCAGCTCTCCCCTCACTGACGCAGCCTTGGGCCCCCCACACTGACTCAGCCGGAAGCAGGCCCCCTGAGGGGCGGAGACCCAGTGGTCAGAGGCCTGGGTCCCAGCGGGAGCCGGTGCCAGGGAGGGCCCTGGGGGGCCCTGAAAGGGGTGGCTGTGACAGGCCAGAGAGGGGGAGTAAGAGCTCTTACCTGAGCGATGAGGTCATTCCCACTGTGGGGGGGCTGTGACCTCACCTCCTTGGGGATCTGAGCAGTTGCCCCTCCAGTGGTGCTGGATTGGGAGGGGGAGCCCTCCAAACAGCCGGGTACCGTCTTGGAGGCTGGCATAAGGGGGTCTGCATGGAGACTCAGAGGCCCCCACCACCTCTGAGCTCTCAGTCCGGTCCTGTCCTTCCCTGCCATCTAGGTCTGGGGGCTCTTGAGGACATGGTTTGGCGTCTCTGCCCCTCACTTGCTCTGTTGTGAATCCCAGCTCTCCTCTGCCCCATGCCTGGCGCTGGCCTGCTGTGTGCCCCGGTGGGCATGGCTGCCTCCGCCCCGGCCTGTGGGGCCCCTCCCCGTGCACACCTCTCCCGCCTCCACCTCTGTGCATTGGCGTCCAGGGCTCTGGTATGTGGTCTCAGTGTCCCCGCCATCCCGCCTCACCCCATCTTGGTCCTGCCTCTGCCTCATCACCCCAGGTCTCTCAAAGGCAACATCTTTTTCTCTGTGTCCCTGATGTGTTCATAAAAATGAACGAGGAGAATAATGATGGTTAGCTGACTTTGTGCTTCACGTGAATGAGCTCACTTTATCCTCATCATGGCTTTTAGGGGGATGGGGGTGCTCATTGTCCCCCCTTCACAGATGAGGAAACTGGGGCACAGACCGGGAGTCTCGAATCGAGGTCTCGCCTGTATGGAGTGTCTCAGCACCTCTTTCTCTAGGTCCCCATTCTCCCTCTCTCCCTTCTTCCTGTCTCCACCTGCCCCTCTGAGAAAGGCTTTTCTGGCAGGTGTGGTGGCTCGCACCTGTAATCCCAGCACTTTGGGAAGCCAAGACAGGCGGATGACCTGAGCTCAGGAGTTGCAGACCAGCCTGGGCAACATGGCAAAACCCCATCTCTACTAAAAATACAAAATTAGCCAGGTGTGGTGGTGGGCGCCTGTAGTCCCAGCTACTCAGGAGGCTGAGGCAGGAGAATCACTTGAACTCAGGAGGTGCAGGTTGTAGTGAGCCGAGATCATTCCACTGCACCCCAGCCTGGGCAACAGAGTGAGACTCTGTCTCAAAAAAACCAAAATGAGGAAAGCTTTTACTCTCTGCCCCCATTGCTGAGTCATCAACATCTCAGCATCTCTGTCTCTCTAATGTCTGTCTCCCCATTTCTGTCCCTGGGGCCTCTCTGTCCCATGTCTCTGTTCACCTGGTGCCTTTCTTTGGTGGCTGCGTCCTCTCTCTCTCAGTCTTGGTGTTTCTGTTCCTTTCCCCTCGGCGTCTCCCTGGGTCTCCCCCAAGTCCTTCCCGCTGTCTTCATCCCGCTCTGATCTCTGACTCCCAGAACGTGTCCCTGTGTCTGCAGGGCTGACCCTGTGGTCCTGTCTGCTTCTCTGGTGTGTCTCTCTGGCTGCCTCCATCGCGGCGTATTTCCATCTCCTTGTCTCTGTCTCTCCCTCACTCTGTGTGTGTCTCTCCTCTTCCTCCTGCCTCCTTCTCTCCAGGCCCCTATCCTCTCTCCCGTCCGGTCTCACTCTGCCTTTCCATTCCCTTGCCTCCCCATCCCTCTCTGCCAGACCTGGTCCAGCTGGACCCCCACCCACAGTCGGGCCCCAGCGCCTGAGCCTGAGTGTCTGCTCCGGCCCGTGGAGGTGGAGGGAGGGGACGCCAATGACCTCACCAGCCCCTCTCCGACCACCCCCCCTTTCCCTTTTCAACTTTTCCAACTTTTCCTTCCGTGCCCTCCTCCGAGCGTGGCGGCGTGAGCCCGGCAAGGCAGCCGCTCCGTCTGAATGGAAAAGGCAGGCAGGGAGGGTGAGTCAGGATGTGTCAGGCCGCCCTCCCCTGCCGCCTGCCCCCGGCCCGCCCGCCCCAGCCCCCTATATAACCCCCAGGCGTCCACACTCCCTCACTGCAGCGGCCCTGCTGCTCATGGGCACATGCCTCCCCTCCCCAGGCCGAGGCCCAGCTGACCCCCGGGGCTTCCCCGGCAGCGGACAGGGAAGGGTTAAAGGCCCCCGGCTCCCTGGCCCCTGACCTGGGGAACCCCTGGCCCTGTGGGGACATGAACTGTAAGTTGGTTCATGGGGTGGGTGGAGGGGACAGGGAGACAGGGAGGGAGGGACCCACGGCGGAGGTCGCACGGAGAGGGACCCGGGGAGAGGCAGCGGGGAGTCAGAGAAGGGGAGGAGAGCAGATCGGGAGACAGGAGGCCGAGAGGAGATGGGCACGGAGAGACACAGACAGGCGCGGATGGAGGCAGCCAATCAGACGCGCCGCGGGAGGGAAGGCCAGACAGGGCCCCGCGAGGGAGCGAGACGCGGAGACCGGGCAGGGACGAGGGACCCGTGCCAGGAGGGGGTGGTCCCCATCGGCCCAGGCCCCAGGGGGCCCGCGGGGACCGGGAGACGCGGACTCCCCGGGGTCCCGGCAGAGAGGCTACAGGGGGAAACTGAGGCAGGGTCCGCGGAGAGCAGAGCAAGCCTGGGAGCGGCGACCCCGGCCGGGGGAGGAGAGAGACTGGGCGCGGGCGGAAAGCAGGGAGAGCCCGGCAGAGGCGGCCGACCGACGAGCGGACAGACCGACGGCTGGCGGGGCCGGGGGCGGGCCGGGGGTGTGCGCGGCGCGGCGGCCGGGGGGCGCTGATTGGCTGGCGGGAGGCCGGATGGGCGGGGCGGCCAGGGTGGGCCGCTGGGAGCGAGCCCCCGACGCCCTGGACCTCCGCGCCCCCCGCGCCGCCGGGTCTCCCGCTCCAGCCAGGTCTCCCGCTCCCGCCGGCGGCAGGGCCGGGGCCGTGGCTCTGCCCCTCTCCGCCCAGGTGCGCTGCGGCCTGGCCTTCCGCGGCCCACCCCGCGGGGCTCCCGGGAGCGCGGCTAAGGGTCTCCGGCGGGAGGGCTCCGTGTCTCCGGGGTTCCGTCGTGGCGTCTGGCTCCTTCCCCTGCTCCCAGCCAGCTCCGGCTCCCGCGGCCCCGGGAGGGGGCAGGTTCTGGCCTGTGCCTCCCCCCCGTGCCCCGCCCCGGGGCCCAGATTCCGGCGTCCGGGGGCGGACGGGAGACGCCCGGCCCGTCTACCCGCCCCGGGCCGCGTCTGCTCCGACGGGCGGGGCAGCCAGAGCCAGGGAGGGAGAGGGAAGCCCGCCCGGCCCTGCGACCTGCCCGCGGGCGTTCCACCCTGGGGCTTAAGACCTCCCTCCTCCATAAGGCCAGGAGTCCAGGCCCCAGCCCCTCCTCCCTCGGACCCAGGAGTCCAGGCCCCAGCCCCTCCTCCCTCGGACCCAGGAGTCCAGACCCCCAGCCCCTCCTCCCTCGGACCCAGGAGTCCAGACCCCCAGCCCCTCCTCCCTCGGACCCGGAGTCCAACCTGAGCTCTCTGCCTCATCCTGCCCCCAGGGGTTTGCCACCTGGTCCTGGTCGTGCTCAGCCTGTGGCCAGAAACAGCTGTTGCCCCTGGGCCACCACCTGGCCCCCCTCGAGCTTCCCCAGACCCTCGGGCCGAACTGGACAGCATCGTGCTCCTGACCCGCTCCCTCCTGGCGGACACGCGGCAGCTGGCTGCACAGCTGGTAGGAGAGGCTGGGCTGGGGCCGGCAGGGGAGTGAGAGGCAGAGGGGAACTGAGAGCGGTCTGCGGGCGGGCCACCTGGAGGGTTTCTGGGCTCTCCGGTGGCAGAGTCAGGGAGGGGACGAGTGTGGGGCCTGGTGTTGGGGGTGGAGGGAGCCCGGAGGCTGGGCAGGGGCCCCTCACAGCTTTTTTTCCCCACCAGAAGGACAAATTCCCAGCTGACGGGGACCACAACCTGGATTCCCTGCCCACCCTGGCCATGAGCGCGGGGGCGCTGGGAGCTCTGCAGGTAAGGGCGGGAGTGGGTGGGGCCAAGGCAATGAAGGAGGCAGGAGAATGGGGCCACGGCAGTCACGGTCACAGCCAGTGTTATCTGTCCCCAGCTCCCGGGCGTGCTGACACGGCTGCGGGCAGACCTGCTGTCCTACCTGCGGCATGTGCAGTGGCTGCGCCGGGCAGCTGGTTCCTCTCTGAAGACCCTGGAGCCCGAGCTGGGCACCCTGCAGGCCCGGCTGGACCGGCTGCTGCGCCGGCTGCAGCTCCTGGTATGTCCTGGCTCCAACACCTGACACCCCAGACCCCAACCCCTGGTGCCAAGAACCTGTGGCCTGAGTCCTTGAAGCCTGAGACCCCAGACCTAAATGCAGCACCCCAGCTCTGAGATCCTGACCCTGCATCCCCAGACCCTGTGCCCTTGAGACCTTGAGGCCCTAGACCCCCAAATCCTGCCCAGACACTCCAAATCCTCACCCTAAGTCCCTGAGACTCCATCGTCCATGACCTCAAAGTCCCAAAATCCCAGTCCCTAAGACCCAATACCCCATCCTAAAGCCCAAAGAGTTGAGAATTCAAATCCTCACCTCAAGACTTGAAGACCCTGGCCCCATGACATTGAAAACCATGGACCTGGCCAGGCACTGTGGCTCACGCCTGTAATCCCAGCACTTTGGGAGACCGAGGTGGGTGCTTCGACTGAGGTCAAGAGTTCAAGACCAGCCAGACCAACATGTCAAAACCCCATCTCTACTAAAAATACAAAATTAGCTGGGCGTGATGGTGGGCACCTGTATTCCCAGCTACTCCAGAGGCTGAGGCAGGAGAATCGCTTGAACCTGGGAGGTGGAAGTTGCAGTGAGCTGAGATCATGCCATTGCACTTCAGCCTGGGCAACAAGAGTGAAACTCCGTCTCAAAAGAAACCAAAAAACTACTAACAACAAAAAAGAAAATCATGGGCCTCCAGACCCTGAGACCCAGGCTCCAGCCCTGCGATCCTGACACCTTAAAGACCCCAGATGCAGACCCTAAGACACAAGACCCTGACCCAAAGCCAGCCTTGGGAGCCTGGCTCTACAACCCAGGACCTCAAGGACCTAGACCCGAGCCCTGAGGCCCTATGTTTCACTCCCAAGATCCAAAACGCTGAGGCCTCAGATCCTGAGCTGCACCTGTACAACCCCAAGACCCTCACTTCCAAAGCCAGGTGCAAGGCCCTGAGACCAGAGGACTTCAAACCCTGGCTCCCAACTCCAAAGACCTTGGATCTCAAATTCCACCTTCTGGCTCTGAGACTCCAGCCCTCACCCATGACTTTCTGAACTTGAACCCAGAGCCCCCCCACCCTAGACTTGAGCCCCCAAACCCCAGACACTCTCTAAAACCTGAGTTCTGGCCAGGCGCAGTGGCTCACTCCTTAATCCCAAGGTGTGGGAGGCCAAGGCAGAAGGAGCTCTTGAGGCCATGAGTTTGAGACGGCTGGGGCAACATAGCAAGACCCTGTCTCTTTTTTTTTTTTTTTTTTTTTTGGTGGTGTGTTTTTTTTTTTTTTTTTTTTTTTGGAGATGGAGTTTTGCTCTTATTACCCAGGCTGGAGTGCAATGGTGCGATCTCGGCTCACCGCAACCTCCGCCTCCTGGGTTCAAGCAATTTTCCTGCCTCAGCCTCCTGAGTAGCTGGGACTACAGGCACGCGCCACCATGCCCAGCTAATTTTTTGTAGTTTTAGTAGAGACGGGGTTTCACCATGTTGACCAGGATGGTCTCGATCTCTTGACCTCGTGATCCACCCGCCTCGGCCTCCCAAAGTGCTGGGATTACAGGCTTGAGCCACCGCGCCCGGCCTGACCCTGTCTCTTAAATTTTTTAAAAAACAACACCAACGATAAAAACCCAGCGCTAAGATTCCAGCTCTGGCAACGCGAACAGCCTGGCCCTATCCCTCACCCAGAGCCAAGACGCCTGCCCTGACTCTACAGACTCACCCCAACCCCCACACTTAGCTCTCAAAGCCCATCGGGACCCCAGCCTCAGTTTTCTGAACCGCACACCCTGAAGAGCTCTCAGCCTAACCACTTCAACCCATGCACCACAGGCCCCCTGGGAACGTGCAGCCTGGACTTCCCCCACCCTGATTCAGTGGAAGCTCCAAATAGCCCCTGCCTTGTACCCCCACTGCACCCTCTCCCTGTCACTCACCTTCTCTCTTCTCCCCACAGATGTCCCGCTTGGCCCTGCCGCAGCCACCCCCAGATCCGCCGGCACCCCCACTGGCACCCCCTTCCTCAGCCTGGGGGGGCATCAGGGCCGCCCATGCCATCTTGGGGGGACTGCACCTGACACTTGACTGGGCTGTGCGGGGGCTGCTGCTGCTGAAGACCCGGCTGTGACCCGGGGCCCAGAGCCACCACCGTCCTTCCAAAGCCAGATCTTATTTATTTATTTATTTCAGTACTGGGGGCCTAACAGCCAGGTAATCCCCCACCATTATCTCCCCCTAGTTAGAGACAGTCCTTCCGTGAGATCAGGGGGGCATCTGTGCCTTATTTATACTTATTTATTTCGGGGAGGATGGGAGGCAGGTGGACTCCTGGGTCCCCAAGGAGGAGGGAACTGGGGTTCCAGATTCTTGGGTCTCCAAGAAGTCTGTCCACAAACTTCTATCCTGGCTCCTCCCCTTCTAGGCCTGGGCAGGAATATTATATTATTTATTTAGACAATTACTTTTCATGTTGGGGTATGGGGAGGGGAAGGGAAGCCTGGGTTTTTGTACAAAAATGTGAGAAACCTTTGTGAGACAGAGAACAGGGAATTAAATTTGTCATACATATCCACTTGAGGGTGATTTGTGTGGAAGCTGAGGCTGGATGCTGGGGTCCCTGGGGCGGGGCAGGTGGAGGTGGGTGGGCAGGGCAGGGGAGGGGAGATGGTCGGTCACCCAGACAGCTCTGTGGAGGCAGGGCCTGAGCCTCACACAGGCCCCCGAACTGCAGAGGTCTTTTTGTTAGGATTACAGAGGTGAGCCACCATGCCCGGCCTCTGTTGGCCAGGCTGGGATGCAGTGGGGCAATTCCTCCTCCCAAGTTCAAGCAATTCTCCCATCTCAGCCTCCCGAGTAGCTGAGATCACAGGCATCCACCATCACACCCAGCTAATTTATTTTATTTTGTTTTGTATTTTTAGTAGAGACAGGGTTTCACCACATTGGCCAGGCTGGTTGAACTCCTGACTTCAGGTGATCCTCCTGCCTCGGCCTCCTAAAGTGCTGGGATTACAGGTGTGTGCCACCACACCCAACCCATAGATCTTCAATAAATATTTAATGGAAGGGCCGGGCGCGGTGGCTCACGCCTGTAATCCCAGCACTTTGGGAGGCCGAGGTGGGTGGATCACGAGGTCAAGAGATCGAGACCATCCTGGTCAACATGGTGAAACCCCGTCTCTACTAA